ACCGGTGCGGGAAATGTCCTTGACGCACCCATCTAGACTCGGGTTGTGAGACGGGGCGGAAGGGGTGGGGGGATGGCAGGAAGGAGGGCGGGACAGGGTAAAGAGGACTGCCAAAAGGAGTGGAACACTACAGCCGCCGAGAAGGTTCATGGACAGGAGGAATCGAACATAAAATTGAAGATGGGATGAAATGTATGAAATGTAAAATGATGCGACGGATGTCATATACTGCATGTGAATCGACCAGGGACAGGCCAGAGTCAGGAGCTGGGAGATAGCCCTAATTCGAACCCTAATTCGAACCCTAACCCTATCCCTAGCCCTAACCCGAACCCAAAGAGACGTGAGAGGCGTCCGACGGGAGGGCTGTGCATTGAAACCAAAATGACTGAAATGAAAAAATGGGATCTGCGTATTTTGAGAATGTGTGGGGGGGGCGTGGAGGCGGAAAAACTTTTGACCACGTCCTTTATGGCGAGGAAGAGGCAGAGCCGATGCCGAAGGCGAAGGGGAACGACAGGCGCAGGAAGGGGAATAGCACAGCCGAGAGAGGAGCGTAAACCGGAGTGGTTAAGAGCACAACGATAAAGGATAGGGATCGGTAAGCGATTTCAAAAAAAAGAAACTTTCCACGCTGTCGTGATTACTTGGGAGGAAAATCATGCCCCGGTTACCTCTCTGAGTCTCTGTCGTATTGCAAGCAACCCCCCTCGTCTTGACCCTTGGGGGTGCGTCGACACACTGGCCGAAAGCTACGATGGAAGGATCGTTGTGTATTGTGTGTGGAACGAGAGGGATCGGTTTGTACGTCGATGGCGTCGGCTTGATTGCCGCTCCTGGCAGGCAGAGCAGAGGGTCGCGGGGCCGAAGGAGCGACCATTGGGAGCGCAACGCGTGCAGATCCGTGCAAGCAACCTAGGATTCTAATCAGTGTGGAGAGCGATCGAAGCTTTGCGTCCAACTTGCCATGATGAACCAGAAAAGAAAGCCGATGTCAGGAGAAAAACGTCTGTGCTCGTCCCAAAAGCCGACACACGATGACAGGAAGGTCTGGGTAGGAAGACATTGACAGAAGGAAAAAAGGAATCTGCGGAAAAGAAGACGGGAAGGAGGAGGG